TTTTGTCTCGTGAGACACCGGGACGAGACATTTATTCGTTTAAAGGGGCTTGATCTTCCTCGTCATAACCCGTTTCTTCATCGGGCTGCTCTAAGAAATTTACACGTGGAGGTTGTCTATTAGGTTGGCCATCCTGTTGATTGCGTAATTTGTTGTTATATTCCCGTTTCCTGCATTGCGCTATATCGTGACCAGTTAGTTTGCAATAACGGCAAAAAGCAGTGTTATTACTGGTTGGACCTCTTTGAAAGTTAGCATTAGGTACAGGCCTTTGGGACGGAGAGAAATTGATATTAGCCCTTGAAGGGCCTGATTTGAACCTATTGTTATTATTATTGCCGTTATTGTTAGGCTTTTGATCAGGTTGTGGACGCCGATATAGCGTCAATTGTATACGTTCTTCTGAGATCGCGAAATTAATGGCTTCATTTAAAGATTTTGGTGATTTGCATCTAACAATATTTGAGATACGAGGCTGTAGCCCCATTAGGAAGTGATGAAGAGATAGGTCTTCCATAGCAGCTGTTCTGCCTGGAAGTTCTTTATTTTTTGATGTAGACAAAGATATTTCTGTTAGCAATTGCGATAAATAAGTTTCCATCCTTAAAGCATATTGGCTGACATTTTCTTGTGGACCTTGCCTGCTCTCTTGCAATTCCATTAAAAGATGTGAATAATGTTTCCTCTCACTGAATTGAGTCTTCAAAAACTCTTTGAGTTGTTCCCAAGTTGTAAATTCTTTAATAGAGCAGGCAATTTCCGCTTTACCATTTAGTTGAGCTAAAACATACTTGAATAATACGGGTTTTTGACCCTCTGATGCAAGTTCGAATGCGTTATCGCAATTTACCAAAAATGAGTTCAGGGTCTCACGATTCCCATCGTATGATTTAATGAATTTAAAAATTATGTTTAATTCTAATTCAGCCATGGCGAGCGCTGCGGCAGTCTTTCTCGTAATGCGAGGAGAGCTAACAGGTGATTTATCCTTAAATTCGTTTGTACCTTGCTCGATTTCAGGAATTTCAATAGTAATTTTGCCTTCTTCAAGTTTTGACACCTTTGGCATAATAAGTAAGTTAGTTAAATAATTAAGCAAGTTACAAACGAGAAACAGAAATATTTATTAATTTAATATGAATACATATAACAATGATTGAGCCCTAAGAATGTTAAAGATAAACAATGACCAGCGACTTACTGAATTTCTGCGTGGGCGATTGATAGAAGCGAGACGACGTGCAGTAACATTCCGCGAAATTAGCGACGATTTATTCTCAGCCTGTTATTTAAATTGACACTTTGTCTTACAAAATACCGGAACAAAACAGATTCTTTGCTAGACTTGACTAAATGCAATTTTCTAGCGGGGTGAAACACTTCACTTTTATGCGCCTTTAAACACTTTCAAGCACTTTATACACTTTTGCACATATACAAAACTGATACGGCCACGAACAAAGAGCGAGTCTGCAGAGCGATGTCGGACACTGGGGATTTTCGGATCCCACCGCTGCCACCAAATGTTAGGCCGTGAAATTAAAATGCCTTTTTAAAAAAAGGATTTAATTAAATGAGTATGAGAATGAGTAAAATACAATAATTGGACAACCGCTCTCTAGGAATAATGTACGCAGACTGACTGAAGTCACCATGATCATAATTCTCTAAAAGTATGCATTGATGATGCAGATGATGAGTTAGCATTAAGGCTAGCAATCTAGGGATGTTACGAACGTTCGAACGGCCGCTACTAAGTGATATTTATTGGGAGCGCATCGTTAGATTACAAATGAGCCTATTTTGAGATATTTTAACAACGTAATAATTCTAAATTCGGCGTAAAGTTTGTACTTATTTACAGTTTCAAAATGTGACGTAGGTACCAGACATTGGTATGGCCATACATATAATACATTTATTGAAAACAATATTATGAAGAGGCTTTCTAACAATTAAACAAGTTTTAAAAAATAGTTTAGCAAATCAAATCAAATTGAAATATGTTTATTCGTTTATTCCTATGGGTAACTTACAACTATACAACTCACTTGGTGACTATGCAAACGAAGATCTAAATCTACATTACTACCAGTTCCCAAATCAAGGTCTTAGAGCGAGAAGAAATGGCAAGAAAGCCTCCGCCATTCTTTTTAACTGGCAAGTTTTGGTTGACATGGAAATTGAAAACTGTACAACGATTAGGCCTTGCTTCACTTGACATATTAAAACAAAATTTCATAATAATATAGTAGTTAGCATTAGTGGACAAAATAGCACGCACTTACATTATATAAGTATAAGTATAGGTACTAAGGTACCTACCTGAATTTCAATTACTCAATAATACTCATCAAATATGACAACTATGTTTAATAATGAAACAGCGCCTTCATACGACTGTTTTAATGAATTACCCACTAAAAGATATATTAACACTAAGTAATTTCAATCTTCTCTGTAAAATAAAACATCAATAAATATAAAAATGAAATACCTTTTTATGATAAGAATATAAATTATACTTCTTAAAAGATAAATGAAGTAGATGCTGTAATAGCGTTTCAACTTGGTAATATCAATGTGTCAGGTACCTACCTACATATAACTGTCTCAAGCCAAGGTGTATATATGCACTTTGAATTTTTCAATATTTCGTTTAATTTTATATACCCCAACAACGGTAAATTTACACTTGAATATCAAAATACCATAGATTTCTGTAAAAATAAATGTACTCTGAGTAGAAAGTCTACGGCGAGGCAGTTCGCTACCGAGTCCGTGTATTTGCTTTACTCATTAACAAGGGAGTGGTCTAACAAAGTCCAAATCTCTATAAGCTATATTACCTAAACTGTTTAGAAAAATTTTACCAAATTTTTATGATATCTGATGTTCTGAAACTTGAAATATATTCATTTAGAAAGTTATTAGAAAGCATCAGTTTATAACTTAATAGAAAATAAAGACAATATTAATAAAAAAATTGATCGTTTGATTGTCGCATTTATAATAGGTATTTACAATAGCAAATTATTAGTTGTAGTGTAAATGTCACACATTTAAAAAACTTTATTTCTTTTCTCATAACAAAATTACAATTTTTTTACATGAGAAACTTAATATTAGCATACGAATTAAGTCTACTAGGATCGATGTGTATTTTTAATGCCCTTTTATATTAATTAAACAAGCGAATATTTCGAATTTTGTTTATTAAAATTAACTGTTCCAATTATAAGCTATAACATACACTATATGTCCAAAAGTATAATATAATAAAGCTAAAAGTATAATATATAATATATAAAAACGCTTAATTTAATAACTTGTGCCAATGAAATACAACGTAAATCGACCATTGAATGCGCTAACGCAGAAATCACGCCGCGCAAACATTGAACGTAGGTTGATTCACGCAGTCGCATCATGTTTTGGTCTTCTATTTTCTTCCAGTCCATTAATTTTGAAAGAATTTACTTCAATAATTTTCTTCTAGTACCTTTTTTGCTATTTGGCGTAACTTATGAAAATAAAAGCGATTACTAACCATTACTAACTAACTCTAACTAAAACTACATATGGATATAATCTGAAATAATTAAGGTAATAATATTATTATAAAACGCATATTTAAGTTGATAAAGACACAGGGCCATAGTCTCAGAATATCACATTATATGTCACATCTACATAAATTTAATAGTATGTAGGTATTCTGAAAAAATATTATTATAGTCTATGGTAACTTCTCTTTACAGATGTAAGTAATTCCAAAGTTAAACCGAGGTCAGTTGAAAGTATCGACACTGACAAACGATGTGGGATTGGCAAATCGTCAGTCATCAGTCTTATTGATTCCGGGATATTGCGGATCAGCCTCTCGGGACCTCGGACATTCTGGGGGACTAGATAGTACACTTTACATTACTTCTGTTCGTCCAAAAACTCTTATAGAAGTTATCTAAATGTGCGTATAATAAAGATATTCTTTAGAAACTGAAATTCAAGTTTCTTACGCTTATAAAGAATTGTACGGCCACAATTCGTATTTACACACATATTTTATTAGTAATTAGTATTTCTTCTTTTTAGTTATTTTCCTTACTAGGGTTGCCTGGAAGTGATCGCCTAACATACAAAGCTTATAGCTTGTTAGCTATAAGCTTTGTATGTTACTTGCTTTCATTTGTAATATTACGGAGTTCAAACATAAATATTTTGGGTTAGTTCAGTATTTTGTATTATTAATCATCTGTATCTCACCTAAATATACAACTGTAGGTACATTACAAAAACGGTTTTCAGAAAATTAAGCAAAAATAGTTTTAATATTTCGAGTAAAAAATCCAAACGCTTGTTATCTCGCTCGCGTGGAACGTACAAAGTCGCAATAAATAATTTTCCCCGACACTACCAAATTAATACGGCTGTCCTTGTCATTATACACCTCTCTCTCCAACGCGTTATAACCTGCATTTGACAGTCGGAAAATGAGTAGTTCTATCTCCCTCGCACTTACTGATGCATTTTTAATACGTTGTCATTGCGGCAGGTGGATTAAAATTTTGATAGGTATTCTTACAGGCTTGTTGTGTCGGGATATATATGATTATAAGCTTAAAAACAGTATTATTTTAAAGGGCATAATGATAAAAAATAAAAATTGACCTATAAGTTATGAATAAATAAATTTCCTTCTAAAACAAGTCTGAATATCAGTTAAATGAAAAAATTAAAAAACAGATGGAAATACATTAATTATTTATTTAGATAACTACTCAGTATAAGGCAGTTTAGTATAATCATAGATCTGTTTTTCAGTGAACTCAGCTGTGAGACAAACCTTTATGTATCGTATAAATGAAAAAAAAAATCGATAACAAATAATAATTCCGAATATAAAAAAATACCAAAAAAATACAAGCAAAAAATTGGTTTACTTTTGTATATATATACCAAAATTAAGGTTCAAGAATATGAAATCGTTTCCTTTACAAATGACACGCGATTTACAAGTGATTTTGGGGTTTAGCTGAGATTTGCGATGCGAGGGTGCAGTGATTAATGTCCTGCCGCCGGACAACGTAATGTTGACTTAAGACCATTATGCGGTGATAGTTTGGCCACAGATTCCATTATATTACATTAAAATTATGTTGTTATATATAAATAATATAATTTTGTAACAACTAAGGCCATGTGAGTGGTGGTTCACCGCCCATAGACATCAGATGAGCCTACTCTCCGTTTGCCCCCTGTAACATAAAAAAAATGAAAGTAGGGGGATTTTTAAACTTGCCATAACTTATTTTATATAAATGCCGTATGCATACCCCGCGGCGCGACTTCGTGTGTGATGATGTGGGATGTGTGTGCTGGTGTGCACTACCAGCTATAACCCAGCGGTGGCTTTATTCCGCACTGAAGGGTCACGATAAACGTTCATGGACATATGTTTAGTTAAAACCAACTTAATTTTCTATATTCCCTGTCCCAAAGTATTTTGCAAGTACCCTCACAATTGAATTTGTTTCAGGTTTGGTTCCAAAACCGGCGAGCGAAGTGGAAAAAACGTAAGAAGAGCACCAATGTGTTTAGATCCCCTGGGTCCCTGCTCCCTTCCCACGGTCTTCCCCCGTTTGGGGCTGGAGACGTTTGCTCACCCGGAGTTTTCGCGGACCGGGCCTGGAGTATGCCACCTGGTCAGTGTAGACTAATTTCAATCATTTAAATAACACATAGAAAATGCAGATGTTTGGGGTTATTTTGAACTTTATAAAGCAGAGGCTAGTAGTAAACTTTTCTACGTAACAGTGGCGTAACAATAAATTCGCAAGACGCAAGAGGGCCCCTGCCCAAGAGATATGATGTTCTATGGATGTGAAGTCTCCTACTAGTCCAATACGCATTGGGCTACTGTGGGAACTACAGAACATTCCCTCTCGCCTAAAAGAGGAGGCCTATGGCCATTAGTGGGACATATACAACGCGTAATTGATTACTCTGAAAATCTCAAAGTTTATTAAAATTAGACTGAATACAACGTGACGATTTTTACTGATAGGGCCCCATCAAAAGAATTTGCCACGGGCCTCAGATGGTATAGTTACGCCACTGCTACGTAACCTGTTTTTTTTCAAAGACTGCTCTGAAAATTATAAAAATCCTATACTGCACTGTTCTAGTACCAATACGAAAAGTCTAGTTTGGCGCCAATTTACTAAGCCAATGGCACAACGTTATTGAACACAAGTTTGTGAAAATGCGCTAGCTTTATTTGATTATGTTGCAGGTCTAGGTCAGCTTTCACAGGGCGGCGTATCGATGGGCGGGTTCGGTTCGGGCGGTCTGCCCCAGCTGGCGGCGGATCTTAACCCCATCAACTCCGTAGGCTCACAGCCCTATCAGACACACTATCCGTTAAATTCACTGGGTAAGTATTCTAAATCTTAATTAAGTTAAATGTATTCCTCGCTTGGCGCGTAAGCATCGCAACACAGCGAGAACATGCTGCTACAGGGACCAACTTATTAAATTTGTTTTAGTGCTGCCCAGTTTCAATAATTACAAATATTTATATAATCCTATGCTTGGGACTTCCAAGCAATAAATACATATGGGTAAGAAACCAAATATCATAATTACAATGTGTAAAGAAGAATTTGAAGTATTTTTCTAAATATTTTTATAACAAATTACTATATTGTACTAAAATCAAGTTATCCTTTGATATCATTCGAGTTTTCAAGTTCTATATAGCTTTATACTGTGTCTGTATTTAGGTGTTACTTTTATTTATCATCAACACAATTTCATAGGTGACACAATGATGTCGTACTGCAACAACATCAACCAGCAAAGCGCTCTGGAAGGCTCCCCTACACCGCCACAGCCACACTGTGGGTCTAGCGGCTCGCCCGCAGCTTCCGGTGAGACAAACATTCAAACACTCCATACATACTAGTATTATTAATGACTATGACTATCTTATTACTGTAGACTATCAAATAGTCCGTTAATTTGTAGATCTAGTGATATTGTATAATCTTATAAACCAAAAGTATTAACGGTTATAAACTGATAAGACTTTGACGTTGTTAATTAACGTACTCTGTGACATATAATGAGCAGCTAATACCAGCGCCATTGCTACGTCAGCTGTAACGTCAGGGCAAAAATTAACGTATACGAAATAGATTGAATTAATAAAATATACATAGAATAAATAATCTATTTAGAATATTAGTGCATGACAAGTGGAGATTGAATGGAGAAAGATTAGAAATACATTTTTGTAGGATGACAAAGAGAAAGGAAAGAGACGTAATAACTTCTTTTCTTTAGTAAATGTTTTATAAAAGAACGTAAGACGGTTCTAGGTTAAGCATTATTTAAATGAAATCCTTGTTGTCCCATGTCCATGTTTTCATTTGTTTTGGTAGGTAGCAAAGTCAAGTTTTTTTTATTAATACTTAGCTTATTCGAAGTCATGTGTACATACTTCATTAATTTTATTCATGTCAAGGTAATGGCGGTGAACATCCGGAAGAGGAAGTATGGCGCGGTCACAGCATCGCCGCCCTACGCCGACGCGCCTCGGAACTTTCTGCTGCTATCCCGCCCTATCTCCAACTCAACTATGACGCGCATAGCCCTGTCTACTAATCGTATAGCAGATAAGCCTACGCAAATTATTATAATTTTATAATGTTATCCCAATTTTAAGGTATTATTTCGTAACATATTGGTTTTGATTGAATCTAATAATAGTAGGTACCTAATCAACAAACAAAAAGATTAGGGTCTATCAATTAAATACAGAGACTATATATCCGATATCAGGTAAGGATAGACACCTCAACTGTTTTCAGACAAAGCAAGTGAATATTGGTGATTATCCGTAATACAAATTACCACAATTGGTCGCTACCAAGTTTAATGTTTCTCGGAGTTCGACGATCCAAAAACCTATCGTAACAGCCTACGGGAAAAAAAGTTATCAAATGCGCATTTATATGTAACGATTGGGATTTGGATTTAAAGACCGGTTGTAGATTTTGTCGTCATATTTCTTATTTGTCTGCCAGAACATAAAAAGCAAGTGAATCTCTCAATTTATTGTAAGTAAATTAATAATTTTATACATTTTTTCTTTGTAAATGTTGGTCTGTTAAACTTATATTGTTTAATATATTATTTACTTCATAATTTATTTTGTAAGTTTATAATTATGTTCCTTTTTTATACGTGTACATATTTTATTTTAAGTATACTTTCTACAATTTGAACGAAAATTAATTACATTATTTACATAATTCGACTGTCATCAGTTGACGCCGTACAGCATTAAAAATGTTAAACGTAACATTGTCGTTTAAATTCTTTTTATGTACTTGTACATATTTCTCGAAGAATTGTAGATTATCTTGACAGTTTGAAATACAGAACTGAAAATTAAGAAATCTTAACGAAAATGTCCATCATATTTGCCAAAATATCTTAAAGTTCTCATTAAAGTAATGGCCGAAGCAATCATTGGTCTATATGTTAATGTGAGTCTAATAATACATGTATACGCGTTCGTACAATAATAACATAGTGATAGATATATTAAGGTTTATGATAAGGTAGACGGCGGTTGATTACGCCTTTAGCGTCTACATACATAATGTATACAATTCTTTAGATTAAAGGTACATATCCGCAAATGCCAAATGTAATCAATAGTTATATAAACTTATATAATATTTTTCTTCGCGGAATAGGATGAAAATGAAATGCACCACAAGAGATCCGCGGGTTTTAGGCATGCTACGTAATTTTGTTATTGATTTTGCATGTGTGCGGTATAAAACAGTCAAAGCGGCGGTTTTATACAAATAACACCAAATCTTATTTAATCTGACATTGGTACATTATGTATGGAGGAGCGAAGTAGGTCTAATACATTCCAATGTAGTGTTATTGTAATAGATTCATTGAAGATATTTGTGAAAGATCGCATTTTATAGTTCATCAATAAATGTTCATGAAACTCAATAGAATTATGTGTTTTTTATTTAAGAATATCCTTTTGATATGGGGTAAAATTTCGATACAAGTGCCAACGAAGTGTATTTAATTACCATAACAATAATATCATAGATAGAAAGTTGAAAAACTGAAATCATAACTTAATTATCAGAGATGTTCGTTTAATTAAACGTTAGATTGACATTATATAATATCTTATCAGTGTCTACTAATTAAATCAGTCTTGATTTAATGTCGCATAGAAACATATATACATATGCAGCGAACTTTTTTTGCGCTTATTTCTTCTACTGAATACATTAAGTAACCGCTAAAACAATGAACGACTCTGAGTATGGTTGTGAGACTTGAGCATGAGTTGGAAATCGTCTCTAAATCCTCGACGTTTAAAAAAATATAACACCTATACTATCGATGCTTGCACGCAAAAATAAAATGCCATATACCATCACAGTAGTGTATTGTATACATTTCTACCAAATAACAATAATTATATTAGGAATTTTAGATTATACTATCTATTAAAATGTATTATGTATAAAGTGACTGAATGGTTGTTATAAATATTCGAAAGAAAGTGCGTAATGTAAAATTTAGTTAAGTATTAATAAATATCATACAATAGTACATAGTACGATAGTAAATGTTTATTGGTGTTTCATTTATCCCTTCTTGTTTTTATACATATAATAGAAACACAGTGAAAGCATTACCTAATGTATTTATAACGATAGAAGCGTTTGGCGCCATCTGTTGGTTCTAAATAACCCGAGAGTCTTCGTAACAAAATTGATCATATGTGCATGCTTTCTTATAATTGTTTTTTAATAATATTTCAATATAAGTTTATCCAGACAATATTTACTACATATACTAAACATATTGAAATTGCTATAATGTAACCTACTTAAGTATACGACTAACGACATCTATTGACAGTTAGCAAAACTATTACAAAGAAATGCGACAAATTCACACGAATGAAAAATAACTAATATCGATATAATCATGAAACCAACTCGCCAATTCCTTCCATTTAAGACTAAAGTATCATGCAAAGATATCATAAACACTGTTTTTTAATAAAAACTATTTTAACAAAGTAATAAAAATAATTTATTTTTGTGATATCTAGTGGTGAAATAAAAGACTTTTATAATTATAATGTAATTCAACTTTGTATACTTTTACATAATTATAGCAGATGGCACTGATAAGATCTTTTGTACTTTTTTATTCGTTTTCTAGATTTTAATGAGCGTTTGATTCTCATAAAGTTAAAAATATATTCTAAAAAGGAAAACTTATTATTGAAATGCAATTTGGTAGGCCCAAGATAGAAAGCTCATAATGGCGTTGCTATGTCACTGCAATAAATTTATTGATAAAGCTACACGCACTTGCCTACAAGGCTCATTTTATATTCTAACCATTATCGAGTGAGTTAATTTCATTTTATTCCTTAAAATGTCCATAAAATCGCAAAAGTCCTTAAACGAAGAGTGTGCAGATATATTTGAAAGGAGCTACTCAATTAAAAGTGTGTCAGAAGAAAGTTTATCGAGGTGAGAGTGAACTTATAAAAAATTTAATATTCGACCTACAACCGATATGCACTTATTGTTTTTATTCTTGCTTAAATTCAATTACGAATATCCTAATCGTTACTCTTCTGGGGTTATAAATATCCCCAATCCCCAGCCTATTCTTGCCTACATGTTCTAAGTTATCTTGCCATGCACCCACGCCATCTATAGGTATATAAGATGTCGTGAAATACAAAAATTGTGTTAATATGTATAATTATGATAATGTAACAATCTCGTATAAACATTTAAGAGTTGTTAAGAGTTTTTATAATAACCAAGTGTTATTATTGGCCTTAATGACAGGTCTACCGAGTAGGAGAGACGCCATCAAATAGGTTATTCCTTAAGCATTTGTTTTTTCATGCTATTAAAAATAGTTCTGTTTGATTTTTAAAAGAGAGAGAGGGAGCGGAGAGTTACTTGCCATTTATTCTCGTCCCATCTACGAACTTGATTTAGGAACAATAGTAAATGTAATAGTATATGTATAAGTTTTTTCTTTAAAATTAGATCTTATATTTAGAGAGAATTAAGAATATTATAATTTATTTTTGATTGGTGTTTATTTATATGAATATATAATTTTTGCCAGTGATGATGATGACGATTACGTGTCAACGGAGCTGATGAAGAAATTGACTCCAGCTGTTCTAGGCAAGCTGAGAAAATGTTTTAAGAGAGCCAGAGAGAAGAAAGCGAAGGATCTTGATAAGTACGTTTATTGTAAAAATTTATTTCTTCTTCAATTAAAAAGAAAAATAAGTTTTTATGGAACATAAGATACAGGTCACAGACAGATCACTTATTCCACGTCATTAAATTTGAAACTGTAGGCATCCCTACTCATCGGAAAGAAGACAGAGGGTGTAGGCCGAGAGAAAAAGCCGGCGTAAAAAACTCTCGGTACTCTTTTATAATAGCAAAATCATCAAACAACACTTATTTTAAAACAAATATAGAAAATTTAATTTCTGTTCATTTACAGTTTTATTATACGTATTAAATTTTGGCTAAATAAAATATAAAATTGAAAGTTTCCTTTTCCGGGGATGTGTAAATGCTAGGTATAAGCGTTTTGTTTACTTAATTTTAAATAATATGACTGTATATTTTTTACATTTTCAGAAAGGTAGAAGATGTGATGCGAGCAGCAGCTGCAGAGGAAGGAATAGAGTTTGCCGAAAGTGTTCCAATTGATACGGAGCATCTTTACTTGAATGAAACTGGTTTTGTCTCTGCGCTTAATAATATATTGGGTAAGTTATTTTTCTTTTTTTGTGACGCAAACATGAAAATAGACATAATTAGTTTGGATTTAGTTTTGTGGTTTGTTTATGTTTTAGAGTTAGATTTGGCTAGTGTTATAGTAAGCCAATAAATATTTACAGTCAAGTTTATTTAACTATTTATAATAGATTCCGTCATCATCGGACGTCAAGGAAGAATACGACAATCACCTCGACGTCCGTCCACAACTGAGCGTTTCTTAAGGCAGTATTTCCACCACCCCCTTGTGGAACCATCTGCCCACTGAAGTATTTCCGTACCAATTTGACTTAGAGTCCTTCATGAAAAGTGCGTACTACTTCCAAAAAGGCCGGCAACGCACTTGCGAGTCCTCTCGCAATGTTGGTGTCCATGGGTGGCGGTTTCACTTAACATCAGGTGAGCCTCCTACCCGTTATAATAAGAATAATCGAATAATAAGTCTTTCCTTCTCTTCTTTAATTTTGTTCCGTTTGGAGTACTCTTGGGCCGTGGAGTACCTACAAGTGCACAGGCGCTAATTAAACATTAAGTTGACGCCTAGTAGATAATACCGGTGACCTCAGAGCTGGTGCATTCCTTCCTCAACAAATAAGTATCGAGGAAATGCTGCCATTATTATCAGGTACCTACTTATCCAGAGCGACCAAACTTTTTAAATTTGGTTTGATTTTAAATTTTTTATTATTTTATTGGTTAAGAGTATAAAATTAATTTAGTTCTGGTTTGAGTCTACTTTTAAAAATGCCTCCAGGTAAGCCAAAGTACCGACCTCATACTGAGAGTCTATACCGCGCCATTGACCGCTTTCATACAGGCCGTGTATCGTGGTCTCAGTTGGTTACTCGGTTGGTAGCGAGCGGGGCTCGAGCCACTGCCTCAAGACTTGACACTTGGAAGCCTGTCAAAGATGCAGGGGCGCTTAAATTCGAGCATTGTAAGGTAGGTTATGTGCAAATCAATTTTACATTTATTCAACAAAGCAATTATTTAGTATTGTCTTTGATTTTTTTTTGCCGGTTTGATTTTTTTTTTTTTTTTTATCAACCTAATTCAATCTCAATAGTGTTTTAATAAAGCAATTATTTAATTCTCATTAAGAAATAAAAAAGGAACAATTCGTATGAGTTAATTATGCTATATACAATTCCAGAGAGAAACCATAGTGCGTCTCGTGAGTGTGGAGACAGAGGATTCGTTCTCCTATGTGGTGGTGTCCCGTGGAGGCCGAGTGGGAATATATTCTGGGGATCTCACGTTACTCAAGTCATATGAGGTCACTTTAAAATTAACTAGAAGTATTTCTCTGAAAATTAAATAAATCATAGATTATGCTTTATTTTTACTCGCAAAAATTACACATAGTTGCAAAGTTTTTTTCCAGAAGGTAAAGTTACATTTATGTAGACATTTGACATCCTGACTCTAAAAAAAACATTTTCATTTACCAGCTTTAGCTTCTGAGATATGGCGTACATATGTAATTTTTGATTTTTAAAAAAAAATTCTTTAAAAAAAAGTTTAATTTTAGAAAGACGTCTAAAATACAACTATTTAACATAATTTTAAATTTATAATAATACATAATTAATCGGTCAAAATAGTGTTTTATTAAATGAATAAAAGTTATGTTACAAAGACATCTAAATTATCTTTTTAATGATTTTCTTGAATGGAATGCTTCTGGTAGGTCTCGTTTTAAACTCTAGCAGTAATCTGCCATCATATGTACGTTCCATATGCCCGTTTATCGTTCCTTCATGGTACAATGGCTGCTGTTTTCAGGATAATGGTCCAAATGAGAATATAAATATTGAAGTTTTACGCTGATACTCCAACCAAGATCTTTCAGAGATGAAAGGATTTGTTGAACTAAGTCTTGGTGATTTAGTATTTTACCAAGAAAGTTTTTCATTACTTCCACAGATTACTATGTCTTGGACTCTGTTTTATTCATTGTTTTAATAGACAACAAAATTTGTTGAATTTTATTTTTCTGTAGTTTAGAAATCAGTGTGCAATATACTCAGAACAATCACCATTTATATCTTGCGCCTAATGAATTCTTTAATTATTCCAAGATTTATGTGCAAGAGTGGCATAACAATATGATCTCTGTTAACGGGAATGTTTTATATTCTGTTTATCAGGGACTTATTTTGTAAGCTTACGTTATTCAATAAAGTTCTCACATCTTGACAAAACACTAAGTTACTTACTTTTAAAAAATATTTTAAGAAATCCTTTTCGCGCTTGCGGTATATCGTGATTTTAGCATTGGCTAATATTTTATTTTTTCTTAAAGGCGAGTAACTCGGGCTTTTGTCAAATTAATGTCTCTATGAGCAGGTCATTTAACTCATTTTGGTTAAAAAGTTCTTGGGGCATTGGGCGTATAAAATCAGGATTTTTATATCTATCTCGTCTTTTATTCCATTTGTTTCGATTTGGCAAGAAGCTGCTGCAGATGTTCTTTTTTTTCAGTATCACAAACCAACAACACAAGTTTGACAAATAGTTTTAGACCCCCACGGCTTGTCCATATTTCACACTTGTACTTTAAAGTTGTCGGTATATGACGTTTTTCATTTTTAAAAACAAATTTACCACAAATAACGTAAAAACGCGGGTTGTTTAAGCAACGTCTTCTTGATGTAGACATCGCAATAATTTTATTTGAACTGATGTATGTATGATGATGATTCGTAAATTTACGCCTACCCTCACTTGAAATACAAAAGCTGTGTAAGAAAAATAAAAGCTGATAGATCGATTTGAATTAAGTGCATCAAAATTTATAGGAAAAGCGATAAAAAATGTACATATAGGAAACCGATAAAAAAATTTAAAAAGTTAATTTAATTTAACCAATGCTATAAGTCAGTGAAACTCAGTATCTATTCTGTAGGTCCCCCATTAGTTTGACAAAGTATGAATTGCTCAGGTAAAATACATAATTATTATCTTGGTAAACACACGTTGGTATGTTGGTAATAAGCAGAAGCTGACTTGTCTGCGGAGACGATGACGGATTTGGAGAAATCCACCCTTTTTTTAAAGGGTTCATAAAGGGTCCACGTGGTTAGGGGGCGTCTATAAATTAAGTGAGGTGTTTTTTTAAATGTTTTGTCCCTCCTTTCCCCCGGTAAGATGTCGTGAGATTTTTCAAAATGTGGGTTTCCGGAATCTCGTTGGATTATTATTGTAAAAAGAAAAAAAAGGGTCCGTGTACTTATGTACGCGCGTAAGAAGTTATACTTCTTTGGCAATATTAAAAATAGTTTGGCTTTGTTCCACCTCCAGTTTTTGATGTTTCACAGCGATAAGATGAAAACGCGCGCATTGTAAAATTTCACTCTCATAAATTTTTCATAACGCGCCTAAAGAAGTATAACTTCAAAAAAAATTGCTTCGTGCTTTTATTTACGACTAGTTAAGACTAGTAATCAATATTGCTGAGAGTTTTACCGACCGATTGGATCGAAATAGATGATACTCTTTGGATCGTAGCGATCATTGCCATTAAATTTCGTGAAAATTTGAATCGATTCGGTTCACTAAATTTAGAAACGCGAAAAATTATATTTTTGTATGAAACTATTTAGACTTATTCTGTGGAAACATTAAATATTTTGCACACCTATGGTGATATTTTGGTGAGCTTTTGTTTAGATATATCTTGACCATATCTAAACAAAAGCTTAACATCATATTGACCCGACATTATATTGTTGCTTTAGGTTTTCTACCACCGAAGGGGCGTTCGAAGTCGCGTGAAGAATTGTTGGATCACCGATGCTGTCTTTATGAGTGTAAGTTAAATTTATAGTAAAATTGTTTTTTTCAGAGCTATAGGTATACATATGTAATAATTCTACACAAATTTTGGATCTTTTGAAGCCAACTCAGAGAGATTCCGCGACCCATTTTTTTCATATATAGATTAGTTATAAAGTTTTAGTTTTTTTATTTATTTAGTTATAGTTATAAATATTATTCCAGGACGTATGTTGTATGGCAGTGTCGGCATCAGATCGTAGCTTAACAGTGTATGACGTGTCTGGTCCAGCTCACGCTCCATTGTACTGCGTCACTGGAATGCCGAATATACCAACGGTCAGTAAATACTAGCTAGTTATACTAAAGGTACTAAATGTAGATGGAAAATGCTTAAGTATTTAAAGTTCAGGATTTCAGACCTCATAGGTTTCGTAATGTTTGACACTTTAAATGTTCATTTCGTAGATACGGTAAACTCGCTAAACCTTAAATAAAGGTTTTATCCACAATATTCGAATAATGGCGTATTTTAGATTTAAAAAATGTAGAATATTTTGAGTAATGTAAAAAATAGAAACGAAATTGTACCAAATTACTTAAATATACCATAAATTAAGGCACATAATATTAATTATATGTATATGTATTCATAAATTACTTTTATAAAACCATAAATGAAGTTAAGCTAACCTGTAACACGAAATTCATTGACTCTTGGGCGGTACCTTTAGCGGTACAAAGTTCGGCGGGTCAGCTAAGGCGGTGATTAATAATAAAGAAAAACATTTATTTCCAACACATATTTGGAAGGGCTTTGGTATGGAATGCTACTTGTGTGCCGTGAGGTTCAAGTGCACAGGTGCTAATTAATGATTTAAGCTGGCACCTGGTAGATAGTATCGGTCACCCCAGAGCTGGTGCTTTCCTCGCTCAACAAATGAGTATCGCAATACAGCGAGCAAATGCTGCCAGCATTAAAGGTACACTGCCACGGGATCAAATATTGTGAATTTGTTTTAATTTTCCATTTATCAATTTATTATTATTATTATTAATATGTAGGTTATTCATAAATTGTATACAATATTGTGTACAATTACCTACCAAGCAATTGTCACCAATCGTAAATTAGTAGTATTGTGATGCAAGTTTACGCTCAGAAAATACGTAATGACGATGTATAGTCTATATGAATGAACTTATTCAAAATTAACAACACCTCTTACACATTACGGCTCTACATTTAAGTAATATAATATGTAATATTTTCAGTGCCTAGCATACTGTCCAATGGGTGAAGCTGAGAGTTCGGAGCTCTTAGTGGGAACGGAGCGTGGAGACCTTACAACCTTGAGATTCTTGCAGCCTCGGGTCTCACTACTGCATATCAAACATCCCGATACGATCAACTATTACTTCTGGATGGTATAAATTTATCCTAAACCAAAGATGCCAATTAGTATCGTTGGAAGTCATTATTATGTCAGCTAGAATAAAATATCTTTGTTACGACTTGAAGCCGTCCTCTCGCTCCTACTATTTGTGACACACAAATTTTGTTAACTGAACTACGGAGATGAAGTTATATGAATCAGCTAAATTCAACAAGTTCACGTAATTTTTTAACATGTTTAGGAGCTGACTTCCCCACCCCATAGCACATATTGTTCTACCCGCACAATTCGGGCGCACTGCCGGTCAGTTCGCGGAGTGACTTACGCGCGGCCGGACGTCGCAGTTTCATGTTCACATCATGAAATCGCGTTACGGCTGACTCATCTTAATGGAAAACTAGACGACTATGAAATTAGCGTACATAGGGTAAGTGCGATTGTTAATTTACACTAACAAGAGTAATTTATAAGAATTTCTAATTGCACCTCTTTTTACAAACTAAATAATTTCATTCATTCATTAATCGGTGGATATCCGCGGTCTGTACCTGTAATAAATATACCCGAAATAGTATAATTATAGAAGATTAACAAGGAAAAACGTTTTAAGACAAATAAAATAGCGCACACAAACTACTCAAAGAGTAATGTATGGATCTGCAAATGCTTCAATTACTTAAACTTTTTTAAACATTGTCAGGGTGTTTCATGTTTCCACAACGTATCAGCGTTACGTCTACTTGCGACGGGCAGTAAGGACGGCCTGGTCCGTCTCTGGACTTATGGACAGCGTGTCCCATTTGCAAAACTGACGCCGGGGGGAGCGCCTGTACCCGTTATTGATGTTATGATTGTTGATTTCGATAAAATCGTCATTGCATATTATAAAAACTGTGTAAGTATTCTGTGTGCCACGACCACTTGCGTCGCTAAGTCCATGCAGATTGTAACTTGAAATTGCTACTGATTTGCATAATAGTTATAGTAAACGTTTAAATGTTGCATAACACAATAGTAGTTTAGAGTTGTCTCTAAACAAAAAATCAATTGTTTTTTTATTTTCTAATCACCAAGTCAATCTCCAGCAATTTTGCATGACAGGTATTTTTGATGCTATTTTCCGAGTTATAAACATCTTTAGACGTAGATTTAAAATGTATTTATTATATCGGAATATAATTTTTATTGTTTAATTTTCTTAATCAGTTCTTAAGCTGGCAGTAAAAAATAATTTTGCTGCCAGCGTTAAAGGTACACTGCCACAGGGACCAAACTATTTAAAATTGTTTTTGTTTAATTAGATTATATTCATTAATTGATCATAAATAAATTTCAGATGGTTCACATCTGGGATTTGTACGAGGAGTGTTTACTCCAGTCGATTAAATTAAAATTTCCCTTTCTGGGAGTACTTGGAAAGAAGGTGGAGTTTGGAACTTCTTGTATTCACTTAGGTAAATCCTTCTTTCTCCTATTAAATAAATTACTAGGCATTCTATTAATTCGTTTCGTAATATCAGTTCGATGTTTCAGCGTCTTTTTCTTAATCGCAAGTAATAAATTTAAAAGTAAGCAATGTTTACTTACGATATCGTATATATATATATATTTTTTTTTTTAGATTGGACAATTCACACCAATTGACCTAGTCCCATGCTAAGCTGGTGAAGCTTGTGTTATGGGTACTAGGCAACGGATATACATATATATTTTAGATAGACATATTTAAACACCCAAGACCTAAGCACAACACCAAATGCTCATCACATCGATGTTTGTCTCAGCCGGGGATCGAACCCGGGACCCATGGATCCGCAGTCAGGGGTACTAACCACTAGACCAATGAGCCGTCTAATATATGCTTTATGCTAAGGTGTCTGTAGTAGTCGTTATGTATAGCTGTTATTTTACAAGAAAAGTCAACCACGTGAAAACAAAACATACATATTGATAATCAGTATACATATAACTGTTAGGGCAAATAATAACCCGATAAATCTGAAAAAGAAAAATCTTTGTTTGTAGATTAAGTAATCTTATTAATATTATAATACCTATAATATTTCAGGACCTCCACGTAGAAATAATTCAAAGCATATCTCAGAAGGTATTGATAGATCACGGCGCGGATCCAGCGTGTACGAAGGTTCAACTGGAGGTCTCATCTTGTTGGAACCTGATAGTCACGAGGAAATTGATAAAAGGTATCATTAGTGTCAATTACAGATGTTCTATTGTCTTATTTAATTTCCTGTTGTTGACTGAGGATTTTAGACTTTTTACGTGTGCCCTGTTAATTAATAAATTATTTTTATCATCTTTACTAAAATGTCATCAAGATCTTAATTGGGCTGGTACAACACTCTAGTAGTTCAGGTTTATGCGCATAAGATATCTGATGCTAGCGATGAACTAGTGAGGGAAAAACCTACTTGTAATGCAACTTTCCATTCCTTTTTGAATATTGTTCATACTATTTATTTATAGATCTAACCAAAATTAATTTAATATTTTCTTCTCAGTGCCGAGTCAGAACGTTGCGAGATCCTTATAACGTGTAACGACTATGTATATACATTACGAATGCGTGACAGCGATGCTTCACCATTGCGTCCAGCTGCCGGAATGGCCCAAGGACGACGACCATCAGCCTGGGACCTTGACATGGATACTGGTAAATATTAGGCTAAAAAGAATTTGTTGCAAATAGTATTTTTTAATAAATTACAATTCTTTGTATTCTCTTTATATTTGGATTAACTATCCAGATACGAACTCACAAATCACATTAAAATTACGATAGCTGAATTGGATTTCTAATCTTCAGAGACCTTACTACGTATCTTGGCATGACTCTGAGGTGTGAAAAACTAACACAGACACAGCGCACGCTAATAACAACTCTTAGCTACACTCTCAAATACATGCGCAGACACACCTATTCACACAATCACACATTCACAAATATTGAATGTCTTAAGACTTGTGTTTGATTAGTTGTAACACTAAACCTACTTTTTCACAAAAAGCTGTTTTAAACATATACCATGTACCACAGACTAATTATTGTTATCTAGTTACCCACAACACAGGAACTCCCAAGTGTGGCGACTAGCGATTTATGAATATTGTCACAACCTATTTGTCATGAATAAAGTTATTATTATTATTGGAACTTTGGGTGCTATTTGCTTTATTAAAATTATTTTTAATATAAATATATCTACCTATATAAAAATCTAAAGAAAATTAAATAGAATTACCCAAAACACAATTACATACACAGAATGGTAAATTTATTATTTTTGTAGGCAGCAAAACCCAGTCGATTTCGTTGTCTCCCCGCTCGAGACACAGTCCATCTGAAACGGACATACATCTGTTGCAGCCGCACTTACACACAACATATGATTTAGACCAACTCATCGCTAATGCAGGTAAAAAATATGTTTCGGTTATGCGCAACATTTCTATCACTACAAATTAAAAAAAAACTGAATAAAAGTTTTGTGTACACATTGGTACAGTGATAAATCGTGTTGATATTAAACACTGTACTACAGTGCTTTTCTTAGCAGTTGCACTCTTCTTTACATATAATATCGTTATTAATTTACGATTACAAAAAATGTCTTGAACTTAAAGTGACGTCGCCATAGAATCCCGATGAGTTATGGGCTCTAGACACAAAAATACCATATACTAATATAAATTAATCAATACAATAAGCAGACTAAAGCCGCAAGATAAAGCTTATAATATTTAATAAAACACTTCACCATATTTTAGGCTTAGAAGACATTTTGGAAAAGAATTTTGTGCTAATGCGAGGACTGAAACATGACCTCAACAAGAAACTCTTTGAGATGGAATCGTCAGTTGACAAAGTAAGTGATTTTTAATTTAAATGGGTTATATTGTAATTTACAAAACATTTATTTTAATTTGATTTTTAAAACATTTATAAATAGCGGACACGATTCTCTTTGGCTTAATTGTCACACGCTTGATTTAATTAATTGTTGAAACAGGAGTTTACTTCGGTGGCGGTTGTTGGAGGGATGTTAAAATAAATGAAACATTTTGTCAACTGGCATTAATCTTTTAAAACGTGAGCCAAGTGTAATAATAATAGTGTGTGTGTAGGGCTTGTAGTCTATAAGATGATCGTTGTGGTTCTAATTATTAACTAAAATATAATGTTAGGTTACATATCTCAGGATTCGGTAAAATCTACCTGATACTACGAGGATTTCGTGTAGTCTATGGTTTGGTACAATTTAATAATTAGTGCAAAAATTTGTACTCACTAAGTCTATAAATTATACGTATTATTTTAGTAATCAAATCCCCTAAAATACAGGTTTAACAATAACAAATTAAAATCAAATATTATTCATACTAAAATTTATATAACTTCGCCCATTTGTACAAGGTTCATAACTAGTATGTGTTTACCGTTGGTTGTTTAATAGGAGGATTTTTTTTTGTAATAATTAAATTTGACAATCGTTTTCCGCTAAAAAAAAGAACAGTATAAATTACCATCCCAATTGTTCATTATTAATTTAAATATGACCTTGTATTACTCAATTAAAATCAATAAATTAATTAACAATTGGTATGTTATGTGTTATTATATTTTTTTATAATAAAGAAAATAATTCAGTGATGATACTACTCTATATGAGTCCATTTATTTGATATTTTTTTATGACAAGCTTGAAAGATTTTGAGTCTAACACATGCCGGTTACTTTACTTATGCTTTTACATTGTCCACATAATATAGAAACAAAATCATAAAAAATAAAAATAATTAAATATGTTAATTATGGAATATAAGATACAGGTATTACGAGTACTTATTCCACGTCATTAAATTTTTAAATTTGAATCGGTAGACATCCCTACTCATCGGCAAAGAAGACAGAGGGTGTAGGTCGAGAGAAAAAGCCGGCGTAAAAAACTCTCAGTACTCTTTTAAAATAGCAAATTATCACACAAAATGACTATGGCAAACAACATTTATTTTAAAACAAATATCTCAAATTAATTAGAAGTAGCCCATCTAGCACTAGTCCCAGGCCCTTTTATCAACTAGATTATCGTTAACTACTAAGCCTTTTTATACAGCTATTCTTTAACATTTCTTAAATTTATTAAAAGGCAGAGATAAAAGAGCCTCTGGGATTTTATTAAAGAAAAGTATCCCTTTTCCCAAAAAATAATGACTTTCATTAGATAGTCTAGTATGGGGAAATTGCAGCCTACGTTTGTTCCGAGTATTAACATTATGCGTATGTTAAGTGCACAACAGTGATTTGAACGTACAACTCAGGCATGAGAGCCTTATACTTAAACCACAAGTGACTAGACCAATAAAGCTGCACTGTGATGAGCCCGTTGCCTCTACGACCCAAAATGTGGCTTCGCCTGCGAAACGAAATGCTCATTGCTTGCTTATGATATACAAAAATAAATATCCATACGTAAAATATGGCGAGGGGGCTCATGGCTGGCCATGCGTCATACTCGTGAACGGGTACTACTTGTGGTGACTGGCCGGACTTTAACCCGTGTATGCGGTGCAGGAGAAATAGGAATTTCACCATGCCTCCTGCTGATAGAGGACAAAACTTTGATTTTAATTTATTTTATTATTATTATTAATTAACTTTTCATTACTTAAGATGTCATGTGGAACATGGGGTAATAGTTGCAGCTCCTTACAAACATTGTGCAAAAAAAAAAACTTGGCGATTAAAAAGAGTGGCGAAGAGTTTATTGCCAGTTCTTCTCTTCCGCTCTACGCCCCTGATTTGAGAACTAGTAGGTAAATGTAAAATTAGAAGCATTTAATGTATATTTATTTTTGACGTTCATAAGTGTACATTGTGCTACCTATGTGAATAAATGATTTTGATTGATTGATTTATAATATTTCAGCGTAAGTCAGCGATCAGTGTTTGTGCGCCGTACTTGTCACTCCCGAGGTACACTCTTGAAGCGTTACCAACATTCAGTCACCTGACCCAGCGTTATGACCATGTCAAGCAGTTAGTATTATAAATATATTTTCATCTTTATACTACACATATAAGACAGGATTTTAGTCCTTATAAAATTAACTATTTTCTTAAGTTTTAATAGTATAATAAAGAGATAATTAATTTTTTTTGCAGATACTTTCCGGGTCCCAGTGTCAACGTGACTCCTACGGCGAGTCAATCGACTACACCACGGAATAAAACTATTAATTTATTTAATACCTTCAAATAATAGGGATATATAATATATTAGTATTAATTGAAGGAATAAAGATGACATAAGTTGAGTGTTTAGCCTTAAACACGTTTTCTTCTAAAACCACATTTCTTACTTTACATTTCATATCATTTCGTGGTACAATTTTTATAATTGTCAGGAAATGTTATGATGAGTCGATTGACCGTTGATTTTTATTGTTGCTTTGGTTAATCATGAAGATTACTACTATTACTTTTGATAATCATAATTTAATTTGATTTGTTTTATTGTTATTTAATTCATAGTTTTGAATGATTACTTAACGAATGAAGGTACCAATATTGTTAAGACCAATCAGGGCAGAACAAATGTCTCGAGTGGGGCCGAGGCACCTTCCTGACTTTGGACATACTGACGTAGAGGGAACCTCTGATTGAGTATTCAGTGGAGCAGTGTGATGATTAGACACTAGGTTGTGATTAAAAGTGAGATCGGTGCCTTAAATCCGCTGCTCGTTATAATTTATGCTAAAATGTTATTTGTAGTGTAGTTTAACACGTTCACTGCGGCAAGTAAAATCATAATTCTTCATCAGGTGCGGCGGCGGGCCAAAATGCGCCCCCAATGATATTTCCGCCAGTGCGTGGCAGGTCTTTCTAGACCCAACAGCACTAGGATAGATTAACTCTCAGTGGATGCACAGCAGCGTCAGTGCGTGGTAGGTCGATAAAAGCCTGCCGTTATGTTTTGATGGGGAAAACCTACAATTTTGACCGCAAGATGAAATATATATTTGTCCCTGTCGAGTTTTTACAAACACCTGAGATAATCGTTACGCACCAGCGAGAGGGACATAGATTTCTTCGTCCGCACCAGCTGAAATACCGCGGCAGGCCGATATCGGCCTGTTACGCAGTGAACGTGTTAATCAATCTTTGTTAAATATTGTACGATAATTTTCGAGTCTTTTGTGCACGCACTTTACCCACATGACGTGCATATTCATCTAGACAAAATGTGTTATAGTTGAGATCTTCACCTTTTGTAAGCTTCTACCTGGTTGGGGAAAAAGTTTCTTCGCATTTTTAAAGAAAATTCACAACATTTTTTAATCTGGTTTATTTACATTTATCTTAAGTATGTAGGTACCATTTTGTTCGATAACTTTTTATCATCTTGTAGGTGGGGATATGATCCCATTGCTATAGAAATTTTGGGGCTTCTGATCAAAATACCGCGACAATTGGTTTTGGCAGTCCTCTCGTGATGTTAACCTGACACTGCCTAAAGAATTCTGAAAATACCGAAACAGGTGGAAATTTGAAGGTGCAAGGTCAGGTCTATACGTCGGATGCATTAACACCTCCCAGCCAAGCTCTCTTAATTTTTGCTGAGTGGCTAAAGATGTGTGAGGTCTAGCGTTATCTTGATGAAAAACCACACCCCTTCTGTTGATTAATTCCGGCCGCTTTCTCTCAACTCCTTGCTTTATTCTCATCAGAGTTTCGCAGTAGAGTTCAGAATCGATGGTCAAAAAAAATAAAATTTGAAAAGCTTAAATCAAATTTGTGCTACTCTCACAGACACTGCACTAGGTCCATAAACATCGCAATTTTTTCGTGGCTTGCGTTTCATTTTTACCTTTTTTGTAGTAAAATTTTAAAATGTATCGAATTTCTTCATTTAAGATTCACTTATCTTGACGGTACGAAAAATAAATAAAAATCACACATTATCCTAATATGAATTTGGAATTATCTTCTTTAAAATTTCAACTTTCAATGATAACAAAAAACAGGCAAATACATATAGTATAGCCAAAGAGATTTTATTACAACTTCATACATAATGCGAAAAGACTTTTTCCCCAACCTAATATTTAAGGGATTAAATATTCAATACAAAATTGTATTGCCAATTGATCCATGATTTCTTTTATATACCCGATGGAAATGCACATGCGCAAGCCCCCGAAAGTAGCAAAGTATGGAGGACTCGACCCACACCAGAATATCTAAAACCACCCGAGAGAGGCTCCGGGTTCGCTCACGCATTCTACGGGTCATTTTTACTGCTACATTTTTGCATAGTAGCTCTTAAATAATTCCTGCAAACCTCTAGAGGATGAGAGGTTCAAGAGCAATTGCCAATACGCGGCCATGTAAACCGTCTGGACCTGGGGCTCTCCTACGCTTTTTTGGACGATCGCAAACAACTGCAAATATTCAGATGTCACCCGAGGAGGAACAATGCTACAAATTGAGAGTCGAGTCGTTGCTCTTCAGCAACGTCATGCATGTCTAAGGACGATGAACCAGGCTTGTACAATTAATGACTCTTCTGATTGATCCTTGTTGAGATTTCGCAGAATCCAGCGTGGGAAGGCCTGTGTATTAACACCCGAGGCATTCCGTCTTTGGGATTTAAAAATATCGGACCTAATTTAGGGATGGTTCGAGTTCTATATCTTCCACGACTATCCAATTTTGCATAGAGGACGTTGAAGTTGGTGAAGCAAACGTTCACCCTACTAAGAATTTCCCCTGCAACCGCGCTCAGGTTGGAACGTACCCTCTATTAAGCAGAGAAATCCCCTATTATATTTCCCATTCCTCTACAGCTGTGCATCTATGTTTGAGATTAGGTAAGTATTAAAATCGCCTAATACATAAAAATATATATATACAGAAAAATATACAGGAAGAACTTGTAGATGAACCTGAAGATGTTGTTTGTAACAAATGAAAATTATTGTCACCAAAATTAAATTTTACACATGCCTTAAGATCGTTGAACCCTAACAATTTATCATGGAAACGGCAATAATATTTAATTTGTTGTATTTTGTTAATTTAGTTTTGCACTATTTTTTAACACTATGTGTTCTTTCTATTCTTCTTACTAGCGTTGCCTGGAAGATCGCTTGTCAGCGATAAGGTCGTCCTTAATAATTTATGTTACCTGTTTTATTTATTTTTAAACATTTTGTAACAATAATAGTAACAAACTGTAAAAAATAAATAAACTACAAGTTTTAAATGCAAATACTACGAACAATTTGTAGTTCAATTAAAAACAGGAAGAAGTTGCAATTGTATTAAATTGACAGTAATGATTAATTAAAATACCTATAGATTAACAATCAATCACTTAATATAAATTTAAAATCAATCAATATATGACGGAGACCATATAATTTTAAGTTTTTAATATTTTGGCAGCAAACGTGTGTTGCCTATGACCTATCTGCTGCAAGCTAGATATATATTAAATATATTAAGAACAAGGGCTTGGATTTATCACAATATTTTAATTAATTAAAAAAACTACATAGTTTGCGGCCGATGTTTCATGTTTTGAAATTATTATCTATTTGCTATCGCTTATATTTTGTTCACATAGTCTCCTGACCTACACTCGCAGGCATTAAAATCTTGCTCAAATTATATTAGAGTAAAAATTGCTGAGTTTTTTTTTCATAATAGTTTTTAGTGTCGTGAATGTATTGTCAAAAAATTCATAAAGGTGCTACAGTTATAATTTTAAAAATCTGTTGTTTAAGAAATGCTACAAGCGTTTGCTACACTTGCAAAATAAAAATATGTATCTTTCAAATCATAGAATATAAAACACATTAATTGTATGAATGTTAATAATGATGATTTGAGATGAGAGTTTAACTAAAACTAGACTAGAAAATACTTGTGAAGAATGTCGTACAGTACTAGAGAGTTGCAAATGAGCAACACTGATCTTATTACTACTAGGACTAGGCTTACAAAGAAGTGTAATAAACATCAGGTTCAGATTTTCTCCCGTTCTTCTTTTCAGGCAGGAGAGTGTATGTGAATATGCAAAATTAATTTGGTGTAACAATTAACTAATCATTATCAGCGACGTTTCGACAAGGAACATTATTCAAACAACAATAACAGCGTACACTCGTGTTGTAAAATAATAAAAAAATTCGTATTTAAAAAAAATGCTATCTTGTATAAAAATAAATGTAGAGTTTTTAAAAAAAGTATTGGATTCGCGGCCTATATATTCCCTGTTAAGAAACTATTCGCATAATGTGGAGGATATTTTGCACCTGGATGGGAATGGGGAGGAGAACTATAACTTCAAGGAGAAATACAGAGTTCTGGACGAGAAGGACTACGCCAGATTCTTCAGTAAACGGTCTTTGAAACGGGAGCCAGCACTGACCAGAGCATTAAGTAAGTACAAATCAACACAGTCATTTTATTTAAAATATAAATAAATTACTTAATATATATTTAATAAATAAATTACTTACATAAATAATTCTGAAACGGCTTAACCGATTTTAATATTTTTTTATGTATTTTCGATTGGTACGACAGTTGGTTGTAAACTGTATTTCTGATAAGCGATAACAAAAAAAGCATTAGCATTAGGTATTATATTTATCACTCTTCTACCACCAACCTCTTCATCACTCAGTTCAACCCTCAACGTTACAAATAATTTATACCAAAACAAACGTTTGTTGGGTCAGCTAGTAATAATAAACAATCAGCTAGTCTTAATAGAAAAATATAACATGGGGCCCATCTCATCGAAGTTTTTCTTAGCATACTTAAAAGGCATACCGAAGCTTAAAATAAGGACTCCACATTTCTATTGTTAAGTTTTACCACCGTTCAACACTTTATTATACAAATTCTTATTATATTACATATTACAGCTATGTATGACAATTCTTAAAAATCAGCCATAAAGTCGTAAAAAATTCACGCGATATATCCGACCAAAATCTTAATAGATTTTACAAATAAATTGTCGAATTTGACTTGAATTTAGGGTCAAAATCTATTGGCAAAGGCAAAAACGTTGATTCTTGATAGTAAACTTAGTTCGTTTTTACATCTCCATGACAAAACACATCACCCGTTTTAAATTGGACAGATACCTCGTGCGTCATATCTCTTGAAATTTTCAATTAAAACTTATTATCAATCATTTGTCTAAAAACTATTGTACTAGTATAACAAATTAACTACTTTTTA